TCATACAGTGGGATGGTGTAATACCTTTGTCTTAAGGAGTCTCTTCCCTGCAGCAGTTGATCTTTCTCAGAGTTGTCGATAGCAATTTTGCAAGCTAGATTTGCCTTTCTCCAAGCTGCCTGATTGCTGAAATCACAAGAGTACAATGTTGTAACGTGATGGTAACACCTTGCAAGCAAAAACAATTTTCACAAAGCAATCACCACTGTAACTGAGCACCCCAAATACATGCAGGGACTTTCTTTATATTACACCATAGAATAAGAATATACTGTCCTTTCATTTCTTCTCCTAACTGTATTGTTTATGGAGCAAGGGAAGAAGAGAACTGTGCCAGCTGTCAAATGGCAGACTCTCAAGCCACCTACTTACATGCTCAACTGCTCAAAGGGACAGACCGTGGTTAAGGAGTCAGGCCAGGAGGGAGGCAAGGAGAAGGGAGTCCTGCCCTTTCCATCCCTGATCCTCTCTTTGTCTCGGGCGAAACAGCATCATGTCAGCGACCGCATTTGCACAACAGGATCCGAGAGATGCTGTACAGAAGTCAGATTATCTCTGGTTACGGGGCACCTGTAAACAGCACCGGCTGCCCAACCCACCTGAGCATTTGTTTCTTATGGTTTTCCACCTCCCGCAGCAAGGCTTGCTTCTCCGACTCTTTATCCTGCTCCTTCGCCATCTGTTCGAGCTCCTTTGGCAGAAAGCAGAAACACGAAAAAGCTGATCAACAACTGCTGCCACCTCCAACTGGCGGGCCCCAGCCCCGGCCAGGGAGTGAATTAAGGGCAGATCGACCCCACAAACGAACACCCCACGGCCGGGGCTCCCCCCTACCCCACGCCAGCGGCCCCCTGCGGCCTGGCGCGAAGGCCGGTCACCGGAGCGGCCCCCGCCCGGGAGCCTCACCTGGATGCGGCCGCGGAGGTGGCGGAACTTCTCCTTCACGGCGGCGTTGAGCTCCGTGAGGGCGCTGAGAGGCCCCGGGCAGTCCCGGATGTCCTGGAAGACAACGGCCCGGTCAGCGCGGCCCGCCCGGGGGCTCCCCGCGGGAGTCGGCGGCCGCCCCCGCAGCCCTGTCAGGGGGGTCCCGCCGCGAGGGGGGCGGGCGGCGGTACCTGCACGGCCGCCTTGATCTCCAGGTCGAACTTGACGATCTCTTGGTGGCAGACCCGCACCGGCACGCAGGCGGCCGCCGCCATCTTGGGAAGGGAGGGGAAGGCCGAGGCG